TACAGTGAACTTTATTGATGGTGTTCTAGAGAGTAGGGCTCCCTAAGTCCCTTCTCTTATTCTGGGGGTCTGGGATGGGAACTGTGTGTGAGGGAGATGCTCAGTGTCGGGGGCTGAGTTGAGAAAGGGACTCCTCAGCAACCGAGGGCTTCTCCCTTGCTTTCCTGTCCTTGCTGGGGTGGGTGGTCTAGGGCTTCTTCTTCCTTGGAGGCCACGTAGGCCATGAGGTCCACCACCCTGTTGCTGTAGCCATATTCATTGTCATACCAAGAAATGAGCTTCACAAAGTTGTCATTGAGAGTAATGCCAGCCCCAGCATTAAAGGTAGAAGAGTGGGTGTCACCACTGAAGTCACAGGAGACAACCTGGTCCTCAGTGTATCCCAGGATGCCCTTTAGTGGGTCCTCTGATGCCTGCTTCACTGCCTTTTTTTTTTTTTAATTAAAACTTATTTATTATGTATATGGTGTTCTGCCTGCATGCCAGAAGAGGGCGCCAGATCTCATTACAGATGGTTGTGAGCCACCATGTGGTTGTTGAGAATTGAACTCAGGACCTCTGGAAGAACAGCCAATGCTCTTAACCACTGAGCCATCTCTCCAGGCTGTTCACCACCTTCTTGATATCATCATACTTGGCAGGTTTCTGCAGGCAGCTTGTCAGATCCATGATGGACACATTATGGGTAGGAACATGGAAGACCATGCCCGTGAGCTTCCCGTTCAGCTCTGGGACGACCTTGCCCACAGCCTTGGCAACACCAGTAGATGCAGGGATGATGTTCTGGGCAGCCCCACGGCCTTCATGCCACAGCTTCCCAGAGGGACCATCCACAGTCTTCTGGGTAGCAGTGATGGCATGGACTGTGGTCATGAGTTCTTCCACAATGCCAAAGTTGTCATGGATGACATCGGTCAGAGGGGCTAAGCAGTTGGTGGTACAGGAGGCACTTACTGAAAATCTTGAATAAGTTGTCATATTTCTTGTGGTTCACACCCATATCAAACATGGGGGCATCAGCAGAAGGAGCAGAGATGATGACTTTTTTGGCTCCACCCTTCAAGTGGGCCCCAGCCATCTCCATGGTGGTGAAGACACAGTAGATTCCACAACGTACTCAGCACTAGCGTCACCCCATTTGATGTTGGCGGGATCTCACTCCTAGAAGATGCTGACGGCCTTCCCATTGATGACGAGCTTCTCATTCTCAGCCTGAATGTGTTGTTGAACTTGCCATGGGTGGAGTCATACTGGAACATGCAGAGCATGTAGTTGAAGTCAGTGAAGGGGTCATTGATGGTAACAATGTCCACTTTGCCAGACGTGAACTAGGGGTTCAATAGTCCAAACCCTCTCAACTCTGTCGTGTCTCAGGCATGAGGCCGCACTGCACAAGAAGATGTGACTATCTCTGGAACAGAGAAGAGCAGAGAGCAACCAATTGTGTTCTTATTCAGAGAGCTAGTGAAAGGTCTCTAGATCCAAGTGGTGAGTGTTCATTTCACTTTTACAAGCAAAAATTTTTTTTTTAACCTTTTCACTGTCAGCTTTATTTAAAAAATACGAATATTTTTAAATGTTGGATTTTTGAAGCATCATACAACAAAGATATCTACATCAAATTAGTAACTCAAAGACACCAACTCCATCCACTAATTTAACAATACAGTATTTAGGATAAATTAAAAATTTTCATACAAGCAAAAATTTATTGAGTTTCTAATAATACTGCCAGTTCTAGCACTGCTATGAAGAAGACACACCCCATGCCATCAGAGCTTCCTGTTGATGTCGGACACAGATCATCTCAATGTAAGATAGAGAAAAACAATGTACATCTGTGTTGATGGGCGCATAAACACATGAAAGTATAACATATACAGTGTAACAGCACCAAGAGTCAACTCAAGGCCAGCCTGGGAACTTAGCAGGACTCTTCTCAGAACAGGACGTTAAAAGGGGATTGTTGGTTTAGCTCAGTGGTAGAGCACTTGCCTCGAATGTCTGTATTAGTTACTTTTTGGTGCTGCGATGAAAAACCTATGACCAAAAGTGACTTACGGAAGAGTTCATTTTGGGCTTACAGTTCCAGAGGGTGAGTCTGTGATGATAGGAGAGGCATGGTGGCAGGCAGTGGGAGCAGGAAGCTGAGGGACCACTTCTTCAACAACACACAGAAAGTAGAGACAGAAAGCTGGAAGTGGGGTAAAGGTATAAACTCTTAAAGCTCACCCCGCCTGGTGATGTGTTTACTCCAGTAAGGCTGTACATACTGAAAGTTCCATAACCTCCCCAAAGAATGCTACCAACTGAGCCGGGCGGTGGTGGTGCACACCTTTAATCCTAGCACTCAGGAGGCAGACAGATCTCTGTGAGTTCAAGGCCAGCCTGGGCTACAGAGTGAGTTTCAGGACAGGCTCCAAAGCTACACAGAGAAACTCTGTCTCAGAAAACCAAAAAATGCTACCAACTGGGGACCAAATACATAAACCTATATGTAAAACTCCTCTTTCAAGCCAGTACAATGTAGGAAACCCTGGGTCCTATCACCAGTACCACAAAAAAAAAAAAAAAAAAAAAAAAAAAAAAACAAACAAACAAACAAACAGCAAACTCACCCACAAGCTCATAGACCTATATGCTAGGAGAAGTGATTAAGCATGGGGAAAAAAAACAACTGAAGAACAAAGGAGTGTCATAAGGCACATAGAAAACATACCAAATTGATCTACATAAATTTCAGCTTATACCAAGTTACACTGGTAGTATTGGATACTCTAATAAGGAAGACATTGACAGGATGCATAAAAAGCATGATCTGACCATATTATATCTATAAGACACATCTTTACATTCAGAGACACAAATAGTAAAAAGTCAAAGAATGGCAAAAAATGCAAATAGCAATCAAAAGAGAGCTTGAGCGGCCATGCTAGTTTCAGATGTTTCAGCAAAAAATACTTCAAGGGACAAAGAAGGCCATTTTATAGGGACAAAGTGTCAATCTATCAAGAAGATGTAGTGGTACATGCCTCGCCTCTAGTCCCAGCACTCAGGAGGCAGAGGCAGGTGGATCTCTGTGAGTTCGAGGCCAGCCTGATCTACATAGTAAGTTCCAGGACAGCCAGGGCTACACAGAGAAACCCTGTCTCCAAAAACCAAAAACAGAAAAAAGAAAAACAGAAGATGTGAAATTGATAAACATGTACGCAGCCTATCATAGGAACCCCAAATACATCAAGCGAAAACTGACAGAATTGAAAGTCCAATGAGACAATGTAACAGTCATTGTTGAAGATTTCAAAGCCCCCCTTTGAATACTAGATAGAACAACCAGACAGATGCACCAAGAAGAAATAAAGTCAATAACGACTTAGTCAGTGGACCTTGAGTTCTGTTGTATCCAGCAACAAAGTTAGACTTCTTTCTCAAGGTCACTAGGAGTGTTTCCCAGGATGGTTCATGTGTTAGACCATAAATCGGGCCTCAAAAGATTTAAAAGAAGTCAAACATGTTTCCTGACCACAGTGACACATAACTTGAGTTCATTAACAAGAGGAAAAATTGAAATTCCCACACGTGGAAACTAAACAGCACACTCCTAAATAACCAGTGGATGGGGAATAAATCTCCAGCAAAATTAGAAGATACTTTGCGATAAATTAAAACAAAATCACAAGGTACCAAAATGTATAGGATGTAGCTAAAGTAGCGCACATAAGAAACCTATAGCGGTAAATGCCTATGTTTAGAAAAGAATGCGCCAGATCAATAGAAGGGAGAGGGGTGCGTAGGTTGCTAGGGGAATTGAGAGGCAGGATACTTAGCTTTCCAGCAAAGATGACATTTGAAAGGATGAGTAAGGCTGGAGGAAAGTGGGAAGGGAATTCCTAGCAGAATCAAGAGCCTTCAAAAAGGCGGAGACAAGAACTGGCCTGGAGTGTGCAGCGCTCTGCGGAGCTCATGTAAACTACATGGGAAGGCGAAGAAAGCCGCAGGGCCAAGTGGGGCCTTGAGGATTCCTCTGAAGAGAACGTGGCCTTTGTCCTTTGGGGCACTAAAGGATCATGAGCAATGTGTGATCTGGGTAAGGTTTCCTTCTAGAAGAAGCTTTCGAGATGAAGTTTGCTATGAAGGTATCTGGATTGCAGATATGAGCTGGGAATGAGCTGGGGACAGGGAGACCAGAAGGAATCAGTCAATTTAGGCTAACAGAACATCGTAGAGAGTTTAAACAGCATAAATCTATCTCTCACTTTCCGGAGGTTGAGAAATACAAAGGGAAGGTGCTGACAGACGTCAGGTGCCTGCTGCAGGCCTGCTTCCTTGTTTCCAGATGGCCATCTTGCTTGGTTCTGCCATGGCAGAGAGCAGAGATGGAACCTCTCTCTCTCTCTCTCTCTCTCTCTCTCTCTCTCTCTCTCTCTCTCTCTCATGACTCTTCTCTTAAGGGCTCCAGCCCCATTCATGAAAGCTGCACATTTATGACCTAATTGTTTCCCAAAGTAGTACTATCACATTAAGGCTGTAGCTGGGATATGTGAACGGGAGTGGGGGGGGAGCACATTCAGCCCCTGTTAAATTTGCATTAGTCAGGGTTCTCTTGGAAGACAGAACCAATAGGATTAATCTCCCCGAAACCTCTGCTGCATGCACACACACACACACACACACACACACACACACACACACACACGTGTTTGCGCGTGTGTGTGCGTGTGTGTGTGTGTGTGTGTGTGTGTGTGTGTGTGTGTGTGTGTTCTATTGCTGTGAAGAGACACCATGACCAAGGAAACTCTTATAAAAGAATTTAGTTGAGGGCTTGCTTACAGTTTCAGAGGTTTAGTCCACCATCATCATGCTGGAGCATGGCAGTGTGCAGGCAGACATGGTGCTGGAGAAATAGCTGAGAGCTTCACATCCTGATCTGTGGGCAGCAGGGAGAGAGAGAGAGACACTCAGCCTGGCATGGGCTTTTGAAACCTCAGAGCCCACCCCCAGCAACACACTCCTCCAACAAGACCCTGAGTCCTGATCCTTCCCAGACAGCTCCACTAACTGGGGACCAAGCGTTCAAAGTCTATGGGGGCTAATCTCATTCAAACCACCACAATACGGATATATAAAATCCTTAGTAAGAGGCTAATTATAAGGTATTGGCTCATGCAATGGTGGAAGCTGAGGATGACTACAGTCTGCGGTCTGCAAGTTGGAGACCCAGGCAAGCCCGTGATGTAGTCCAGATGCCTGAGAGCTGTGCTGCTGATGGTGCATTCTAGGCCAGATCTGAAGACCTAAGATCAAGGAACAGAGAAGATCAATGTCTCAGCTCAGCAGCCAGGCAGAGGGCAAATTCGATCCTCTCCACTTCTATTCTATGCAGACTCTCTGGAGCAGGGAGATCAAGGCCGATGCAGCTCACCCGCATGGTGGAGAGTTACGCGCTCTACTTGGATCCTTCATTCAATTGCTGATCTATTCTGGAAATATTTCCTAAGACAGATCCAGAAACATTGTTTAACCAGATTGTCTGGGCATTCTGTGGCCCATCAAGTTGGCACAAATTGAGCTATTGGCATAATTCAGGGGTGAACTTAGCAACGGTGGGGTGGGAAGAGGGAGGAGCTGGATACAAAGAAATTTAGGTACTATCTTTAAAAAAAATCTCCCCCCTCTCTCTTTCTGTCTCTCTATCTCTCTATCTCTCTGTCTGTCTCTCTCTGTCTCTGTCTCTCTCTCTCTCTCTCTCTCTGTATGTGTGTGTGTGTGTGTTTGTGTGTGTGCATGTGTGTGTGAGGGAGACAGAGTGAGTGGGTATAGGGCATACATGCACCACAGTGTGTGTATGTGTGCATGTGGAGGTCAGAGAAGAAGTTGCTAGAAGTTCGCTCCTTCCACTAAGTGGGCCATCAGGTTATCGGACTTAGCGGCAAATGTCTTTATTGTAGAGACACCTCCCTGGCCCTTAGGTATGCTCTTAAGCTGCCCTTACCCCTTTGGTTGTGCGTTGTCACGAAAGAAATGTCAATTTAGTATTATTGCTGTCAGGGATTTGCTACTGCCAATGAAAATCCTTGCCCACACCATTCATGGGTCCTCTGTACTTCCTGTCTCAGGGACCTCCCTGCCACACCTCATCACCTCCTTTTTACTACAGGATCCCTGAAAGGTACACCAGGTACGTCAGTGAGGTAATGCTCCTTTACCTCAAGCTTATAGTCCCACTGTGCCAAGCACCTTGTACTCCTTCCCGGGCCAATTCCTTGTTCCACCGGTACCTATCCTCTAGGAGATGATCACAGACTAGAGGAAAGGGGCCTTCTCTATATTTAAAGATCTATATCTGTATATCTACAGTCATGTGCCACACAATGACATTTCATTCAATGACAGCCTGCATCTACAGGTCGTGTTCCATACATTATAACGAAGCTAAAAAGTTCCTATTACCATCTTTGAGTAAGTGCGCGCTCTGATTTGATTGGCACAGTGATGAAATTGCCTGATGATGAATTCATCAGATCATATTTCATGAAGCAGTGTGTGTGTGTGTGTGTGTGTGTGTGTGTGTGTGTGTGTACACCTAAGTTTAGCAAGTGGCTGTGCGGTTATCTTATCCTGGTCTACTTTGCTCTCTTCCCTTTGTGCTCCACAGCCCCAGGTATTTGAAAGGTCAGGCCTCCCTGGAAACAACCGTGGGGATCTGGTCCACTGAGAGGAGGCAGCTGAACCGCACAGAGCGCTGGCTTCCTGCCCATCTTCCTCATCCTTGCTCACTGCAGGCTGTAATTCTCTAGAGAGAAATGATTGGTTTCTTGTAGAAGGTCTTCTGAAAACCAACCCACTTACTCCAAACCAGCCATAATCAGCTTGCACTATATATAAAATCACCAGTTCAACTTATCCTTGTCCTATGATGAGGCCAACCTTGCACAATTCAGACTAGGAATGTGATCCTGACTTAGCCATTAGTAAGACAATGATTGTCAGCTTTGGTTACAAGGTAGAATAAACTTAGAACTTGGCAAAAAAAAAAAAATCTTTCTAGGATCCCACCCATGGTAATTAAATTCCAATCTTCGAGTACAGGGGCAGGTATAAAGATGCGCGTTGACTGCCTATGCAGCCTGCTGGAGAATTGCAGCTCTAGAAGATTTCAGAAGGTCCATAAGAGAGGCTCAAGGCACATGTTACTGTTCATGGTAGATGCTTGCTGGTTTTGAAAACGTATGAAGAACCCAGGCCGACCATGTAACTGCAAGTACTTCATGCAGTAAACTGAGTTCATAAAAACCAAAGTATTTGGGTGGGGCATGGTGATGCACACCGTTAGTCCCGGCAGGCAGAATCAGGTGGATCTCTGTGAGTTTGAAGCCAGCCTGGTCTATATAGTGAGTTTCAGGTCATCCAGGGCTATAGAGTGACACACTGTTTAAAAAAACAGAAACAAAAACAAAGAGCTTCTCTGCTTCCTCTAAATTGACACAGCAGCTATTAAATGAAACACTCAGGGCATGTGCTGCTGATTTGGCCATTACAGAGTCTCTTCCTTTGAGAATTGGCAGTCGGGATTTGTAGAATTATCTCTGCTCAAACAGCAGAAGAGCCATGTGTGGTACTAGAGAGAGCCACAGCAAACTGGAATGTGTTCAAAGATATGGCCCTGGACATTTACTGAGGAGTACACACCACAACATAGCATACAACTTGGTCTTTAAAGTGCTGTTGCTACACAGGGCAATTAAGGGAATCACAGCTGTGACAGCTGTGGTCCTCTGTGTTCTCATTAACCAAAGACTTTCACTCTCTTATTATTGTTTTTCCTTTTATGTGCATATTTTAAAAATAGAGCTAAACAGATTTTACAGTGAGGGAAAATGGTCCCTACTGTCTTGGGAGTGATGATAATATTTTAAAATCCAGGTATACTAATGTTGAATCAACTCTGTAAATATACTAAAAGGCAGTGAATCATATGCTTTAAACGTATATCTCAATAATGCAGCTATTTAAAAAGCATTGCAAGAGTAGAAAAAATAACTGGAAGATTTCTATGCCTTTCAGAACATGTGGCCTGAATCTCTCAGCAAAGAAGCTGCAAAGGCAGTGCATGATGCTGCCTTGGGACATGAATGACTTACTCAGGTGGTACCGGTAGAGGTGCCCTGTGCAGGGTTAGGTGGGCAGTCTGCTACCATCAGAATGGAGAGGGCTGAGAGCAACTCTGCAGAGGTGTTAACAAAATGAAAGAAAGATATCTGCTCTATTGGGAAAGAGAGGCAGAAGCTACTGTCTGGTGTTGTGGGATAATGCTCTTGTACACTGTAAGATTTGTCACTTGAATTGGTTTAATAAAACACTGATTGGCCAGTAGCCAGGCAGATGGATAGGCAGGACGAGCAGACTAGGAGAATGCTGGGAAGAGGAAAGGCAGAATCAGGAGCTGCCAGCCAGATGCAGAAGAAACAAGATGAGAATGTCAAACTGAGAAAAGGTATCAAGCCACGTGGCTAAACATAGATAAGAGTTATGGGTCAATTTAAATGTGAGAGCTGGTCAGTAATAATCCTGAGCTAATGACCAAGCAGTTATAATTAATATAAGCTTCTATGTGGTAATTTGGGAAGCGACTGTTGGGTTTTGAGATTTGTTGGTCGAACAGAAACTTCTGCCAACAAATGGTGCCCAACATGGGACAACTACATCCGCATAAAACCTGAAGGAACTTGGGAAAGGATTCTAAACACATAAAAACAGAGTCAAATGCAGCTTCTTGGTAACCACGTTTTCTCCAGTGGGCTCAGTTTGCTGGCAGCGAGCAGAGGCATGGCTCCTTTAAGAGACGGTTTCCTAGCCGGGCGGTGGTGGCACACATCTTTAATCCCAGCACTCGGGAGGCAGAGCCAGGCGGATCTCTGTGAGTTCAAAGCCAGCCTGGTCTACAGAGTGAGATCCAGGACAGGCACCAAAACTACACAGAGAAACCCTGTCTCAGAGAGAGAGAGA